ACTCAAATAATTGAAAGGGAGACGAAAAAAAGAAAAAGTGCCTCCTCGAGATTATTATTCAACAGCTCTGGGTAAAAGATCACCTCCTAACAAGTTCGAACCACCACTCAACGCCACTGTTTTCCTTCCTTTGGGGGGGGGGGGGGTAATATTATTAGTCAGCCGTCGAAGAAGGATTCATGAGATTCAGAATCTATTCCTTTCGTGTTGCTGCTGCTTTCGTGAAATAGATATAGCTACAAAAATGGGAAAACGATCATAATAACTATCCCCGCTCGCTAATGAACCAGGGTAGTTTCTTTTCTTGTTCCTTCCGCCTGTTCATTGGTTTTTGTTACCCCGTCTGCGCATTGTTTCCAGTCTCGGTGCGTCGTTCGTGATGCTTAGTGCGCATGATACGTTGCTCTTTCTCCTCCTGGCGTACCCGTTCCTCCTCCCAACGCTTGCAGAAGACGCACAAGACGCGGAGCACCTCATTTAGGGAAAATTCTTGTCTATTTTCACAGCAAAAATCGGGCAAGAGACGGATGCTGGCGTCCAAGTCGCCGGCGAGGCATTCCACCTCCTCCAGAAGTGGCGTGGCGTGGCAGATGAACTTGCCTAATACCGCGGTCCACCGCTGATCGTGCATGATGGAGTGAACCAACGAACCACAACTCTTTAGACAGGTGCGCAGCGACGTGAGCTCGGCCTCGATATCCTCGACAATCACCCCCTGCGCGGCCTCGAGGCTCGGCAAAATCTCCGCCACAAACCCATGCAGCTCCGGCTCCTTTTTAGTAATCGACGCGACGACGTACTCGAGCAGAACCCCTTTCCCATCGGTGGTCCGGAAGTTCACGATATTCATGATCTGCGTGATGGGAAACCCCTGCGCGTTTTGGTAGCGGCTCCCCACGTTCAAGAAGTTGCTCGCGGAGAGGATGTAGGCGAGGACTTTGGGCAGGTAGGTCGACCCCAGCACCGCGCGGACGACGGTGTAGACGGAGTGCAGCTTCTCCTTCAGAAACCCTACGCGGGGCTCGAACTCGAACATCAACGCCCACGCCCGGATACGCGCCTCGTAGTGGTCGATCTTCTGCGTCATGAGGAAAAACCGCACGGGGGTGGGGAGCTGGAAGAGATCCGCGGTCGTCCACGGCTTCCCGGCACGCCGGCGGTGGCGTTCGATCGCGGCGAAATCCTCCGCCGTCGGGAGGATTTTCATCAACCCGGAGACGTGCTCCTCGCCAAGGGTGAGCCCGTCGAGCTGGCGAATCCCCGCCTCGATCGTCTGGATCGGAAGGCGGAGGAATTTAAGAACGATCCCAACGTTGCGCTCCCGGATCGCGTCGAGGATCGGGCGATCGCGGGAAGGGGGAAGGGAGTTCGTGGACTGTGGAGGGGCCCGTGCGCAGCGGCGGTAGACCTCCGCGAGCAGCCGCCGCTCGTCGTCGCCGAGGACGGCGGGGTTGTCGGTTTTGGCGAAGACGGAGCGGGAGGTGTGAGGGGCAGCGCGAAGGGGGATGTGCTTCGTGGTGGGCGAGGGCGGGCGAGGGCGGGAAGGGGGAGGGGGAGGGGGGGGGGACGCCGGGATGAGCCCGGAGGTGGTGGAGGTGGAGGTGGAGGTGGAGGTGGAGGTATACCAGATGAGCCCGGAGGTGGTGGAGGTGGAGGTGGAGGTGGAGGTGGAGGTGGAGGTACACCAGCTGAGCCTGAAGGTGGTGAAAGTGCAGGAGGTACACCAGATGAACTCGGTGATAGCGGCAGCGGGCTCTTGCTGGCGTCCCTCACACCGACGGTTCTGTTAAGCGGAGAGGCCCGCAGCCGGGAGTTGATCCTCTCCCGCAGCTGCGGTCTGCGCTGAATTCCCGATTCCCCCTTGGTCAGCCCGTCGTTCCCCTGTGTGGACCTCGGCGGGAAAGGCTGAAAAGGTGAGGTGATTGGGTACGGCATGGCGTCTTTTTTCGCGTTGCCGTCATTGCTATCCCCCACGAGGGGGGGCTGGTGGGGAAGCAGCTGCGCGCAAAGCTCTAGCGTTTTCGGCGTGAAGCAGCTCTTCAAATCCAAAAGGCCCGCCTGCTGAACACCACCCTCTCCCTTCCCGGGAGAGGGGTTCATAACCGACCTGGGGGTGATGTTCTTCGACCGCGGTGGTGTGCGCTGCCAGCATATCGGTTCGGACCCTCCCTTATCCCTCAACTTCACGGGTAGCGGCGTCGAAATATCGTCGGGGTGCGATTTGATGAAAGAGGGCTTCCGCCGCCATAAAGGATGGGGCGTGTCGTCACCAGTACTGCGGGGAAAGATTGCCCCCGTCGATTGTGAGCGAGGGGATTCAGGAGGTTTGGTTTTCGACGGCGAAGGACACGATTCCACCCCTTCAGGGGTCATGAGTTTCCTCCCTGTTGGGAGAGATTTCAAAGGAGTTAGATGCCTATTGGGTAAAATACTGACAGGCCCCTTAGGAAGGATGGAGCTCCCCTCAGGGCCGCTCTTCACTTCGCAGATGCGTGGTAAGGTTAGGGTCGGCAATTCCTCGTTGAGTTTCTTATGGTCTATCGCTGAAATCGATATCGAGGCCCTGCGACTGGCATCTCCACACTCAGAAAGGCATGAAATATTTGTGATAATGTTGTCAATGCTTTCCATTTTGGTCTTGATTGAATGTAAATTCAATTGACTACGTGCCACATCTAGGTTACTTTGAGACAACGACAAGGCCTTCGCGATGTCGTGTTCGCTACATTCCGGGTACTCAAGCCGGAGGATCTCCGGAGTATTCGACTCAATGGCGTCGCTGTTTTCCCCAACACGTCCAACGTCCCCAAGCAGGTACTTAACCACCTCCGGTAGTTTGTTGGGGCTGGAGGCGCCGATAACATGGCCACCATTGATATCTGGCAAAGCATTTTTCAGCTGCACAGAAGCCAGCTGAGCATTCCCCTTCGTTGCGTTCAGTGTATTGATAACCTCCTCCTCCCAGTTGGAATCTAAATTCAAAAATTCCATGAGTCGTTTGACTGTATCCATGGAGCCATACTCGAGGAACGCCTTCGACGTGTCGTCACCTTTAGTCTCGCTCTCTATTTCCAAGGCCGCATTAATAAGGGTCAAGTCCCCCCCAAGCGCTGCAGCGATCTCGTCAACATAAGATTCCGGCACATTATACTTCTCACTCAACGCTGCGTATCTCTTCGTAGCGCTCTCGTCAGGAAGGTTAAGCTCCGGTAAAGAAAGCGGTCCATTTTGGCAACTGATATGTTCGTCGAAGAGGGATTCCTTTTTCAAGCAAGAGTACCATCTGCTCGGAGAGGATCCTTCAGTCCGCGGCAGAAGAGCATCCTGGGTTTGAGCAGAGGTTACCCCCTTCTCGCATTCAGGAGATATCGGAGGAAAAGCGAAGACGGAGCTGCCGGATGTGTTGTGCTGGACTTTAGGTAGACATGAATTGGAGAACTCGCTTTGTTCCATCTTTGTGGATAAAACACTCATCCAATGATCCCTCACGGAATGAAAAGTCAAAGAAGATTAGTTCAATTTGTTAATATGGAAAAGCAATCCGCTCTCTCCTCTAGATGTATTCTGACAGTTCTTGGTTTATAATAAGATCAGTCTCCTTGAAAATGGGAACCTAAGGAAAGGGGGAAATAATCAGCAAAAAAAAACTTCCTTTAATCTATTGGAGTTTATCATCACCTTCAGCTTTAAGATTGACTAAAAATTAATATAAGAATTCACCAAAAAAAAACAGGTGTTTAGTGTAAACATTTCAGTTGTGTGTGACACCTCCTAGTCAGTAGGAATATGGAATTATCTATGCAGTAAAAGGCCCTCTAAAAGAAGAATAAACACCGGATTACCTTTTTTTTATAATACGTTACCGTCGAAAGTATAACAGTGATGCCGCCTAATAAACAGAAATTAGACAGGGT